GACAGACGGCGGCGAACCAAAGGTCACCGAACCTGAGACCCCGGGCCAGCGTGTCGGAGGTTAAGTCCGACCCTGCAACGGGAGGCCAACTTGCAGTTCATTTACATGTGAAAAAGCGAGAGAAAACATCCACCCCACCTTACACAGTATGAAACTGGGTTTACAAGTGTTGGGGAGGGGGTGTATTTCCTCGTCCTTGTCCCGCCGCGACAAAGAATCGAAGGGCAGAGACACAGTAGTGAATCAGAGTAAAAGTTTTATTTGAAATTACTTAGAGAAGTGCAGCAGGCAACCTCTGCCAGGAGAGGCGCCCCGAAAGGTTTGGAGAGAGTTTAAGATTAAAAGGTTACCGGCTTAGACAGTGTGGGTGACCCCAGAGAGAGGAGCGCCCCGAAAGGCTGGGGTTCCCCCTTTTAAGGATTCTTTAGGAATGTGACTAAGGGCTGGGGGTGCAGACTGGTTAAGTGGTCTCTGAATACTTAGAATTAACTTAACACAAGGACCTTCCTGCTCTGATTTCTCCCTGGGACCCCGGCCTCCGGGTCTGGGAGCGGATCAAACAGGCTGCCGGCCCAGCCCCCAAGGTGGGCTGAGCTATTGTCTGTTTGCTGAAAGGTAGGTTAAGAATCTTACATTTTTAACTTCCTGGGTATTTAAAATACAATCTTTAAGATGGAATCCTTCCTGCCTTTCACTAATTTGTGTATGGCTAGGCCTCCATGCTAAATTAGTTGCATAGGTTACAAACTACTTAATTAGGGCCAGAAGGAGAAAAAACCAACACCTAGGTAAAGGTAAAAAAATAAGCTGGGCCTTTATGATCAAGACAATAAAGACATGGGCAATGCTGAGGTACCCTCCTCTTATCTGGGGAATATTCAAATATTCCAGACCAAGCTTTCTGAGCTTTCATTGATTAACTTTGGGTCTTTTTAGTGGGCTTTGTGGCCTTTTTCTCTTCCCACCCCACTCATACCTATTTTCCTGCCTAACATCAGCAACTGTTTGGGGCTTGGTGTTTATTTCTAAATTTCTGGTGTAAAATAACAAAGGTCAAACCACATCCACTGTATAGATTTTTCGCACATTGACCATCCATAAGAATTATACTTGTTTTATGCGTTAGAATTGTCATACATTAATTTGTATCTTGTAAAATCCATCTTGTCAAATAACAATACATAACAACCTTCTAAATAACATGTATAAGAATAAAGCTCATTTAAAATACACTTCAGGTGCTGGAAATATTTTTTTCCCTTTCTTTTTTTCTCCCATGTCCAGGATTAGTTATCCTCTGAGAGACATAGGCATTGAGGTTCCCTCTAAATACAGAAGTTCATTCTGAGGACACTGGGAGCAGTGACAAAGG